AAGTCCATTTCAATGCAATTAAAATATCTAGATAAAACAAACACATTTTGAGTTTTTATACATTATAAAATTTTATATTTTGTACATACGTATTTTATTGAAAATTTTACGCTTTACAGACTTTTAAATTAAATTTATTTAAAAAACAGAAAAATATTTATTGACATATCGACGTTTATTAGAATAAACTATATAGTGTTTTTTACTTTTGTACTCTGCATTAACAAATAAATACCGTATGGGAGATTTATTTGTATATTAATTTTGATTAAACTCTGGTGTATCAATCCACTTCTGAATATGTTGCAAATAATGCTCTATAATATTTTAATAGATAAATCACGAAGCATTGTGAACAAAAAAATTAAATCAATAAAATTTGAGCTTATATGCTGAGTTTATGTAAATTATGACATTAATATTTAGACTAATAATGCTTGTTTGTTAAACAATAGTATTTGATGTATTATATTTTATAATAATACATTTTCATATAAGTGATTTCAAATAATGTAATATTTATATTCTAATTGAGAAAATAAAAACGTTTGGTATTCTCATGGCTTAGAAATTTTGGTTAAACCTTATTTCCATAATTATGAATACTCTAATCTTTATTCACAATAAAAATAAAGGGTTATATCTATTTATATGGATTAACTAGTTTATAAATATTTATATTTCTTAGCTCTAAGGAAGGTTTTAATGCACCTATATTAATCCTTTGTAGTATAATTGGGTTAAACTATCTAAACAACTTTGTCTCATCTATTCACTTTTAATAAAAAGAGCAGGTTAAACACGAGCAGGTTTATAAATTTATTACATAGATTAATTACTCTGTAAAATGTGGAAATTATTTCTAAATATGTGTATAAAAATAAGTTCATATTTTTAACTTCCCGTAGGGTAAGTTATAGTAATCGCTAAAAATCGAAAATAAAAAATTGTATGTATCTATTACATATTATATATTTATATAAGGCGAGTCAAGTCGTTTCGAAGATACGGGGCAAAAGTGCCAAAAACGGTAACTCAGTTTTTAGGAGAATGGAGCGTCCGATTTTAATAATTCAAAAAACATTTAACTTGTATTGACAAGCTGAAAAACTTATTAAATTTTTTGGAAGGCAGGTCTAGCGAATAAAAAGGTTAAAAAATGCCATTTAGTGGCCAAAAATGATCATTAGACATACGCACATCAAATTATCAGATATTTCATGGAGATTTTAATAATACGTACCTATAAAATTTGTTCACATTTTCTATGGGTTCCGTTACTTCGTTTGTCCGTTATACAACGACGCGGCGCTTACGCGCTTCGATATGTCATCTCTATATGCAGCTAAAGCAGTGCAAATGCTTTGAGAAAAAGATCCAAATTTCAAAAATATAACAAAATAAAGAACAGTTTTTTCAAAAAATATTTTTTCAATGAAGTCATTTTTTTGTCAAAAATTTAAAATTTCTCAAAAATCTAATTTTTTCAAAGTTTAAAAAAATGTGATATTTAAAAAAAAATTGTTACGAGAAGTTTTAGCAGTTTGCCTTAAGGCACGGTGCCATATATCACTAGTCTATATTTGGTTTGTCAGTCGTGTCGCACTTGACGCGTCTGTTTTGTTTTGTATCATTGCCATGAGCCTGTAAGATATATAATCCATGGCTCAAACGAAGAACGGGGTGGTGATTCGACCGAGCTGTACAATTGTGCTTACGTATGTGCGATTTCAGTGCACAGATTAAATGCCGTCGTTGTCGACTTTTGCGTCTGAAATCCTTGCGATTAGACGTGCCCTGGGGGCCACAAGCCTCGTCTCGAATCACTTTGTCGTCATGTCGTTCTGGAGCACCGGCAACCGAAATGACGCGCCATTCAGAAAGGACAAGAAGAAGTAGGAGCAATTAATTATAGCCTTCGAGTTGTTTTTCAATTAAAATAGAGAGTTGTTTGGTTTTGAGTAACGCTTTTAAAAAGTGTTCATGCTACAGATTGAAAAGCGCATTTTAGAATATAATATCAATGACAGTTTTTTATTTGATTTTAATTAAATGCAAAATAGCTTTGACACTACATGCAAAGATATTGTATAGCATTTAATATACGGTGGACTCGGAGGATTTTGTTAACATAATTTATGTTCAGGAACGTGCGTTATTTTTTGAGCTCTTTGCTCACAGTAATTTATAATGAAAGAGCACAGAAATACGAATATGCTCCCTGCTGTTAAGTGATGCTTATTATTAGGCAATTAGACATTTCGTATTATAGAATTTCTCATATAATCCCATGTTGTTAAGTGGTAGATAATAAACATTTACACAAAATATAAGAATATGAGATCGCTACGCTCTATAATTTTAATTTTCTTCGTTTTTCATTTGAACAAATGTGCACTCGTATACTAACATATGCATGATCTGCATACACTAACTTAGTCCTGTATTTCATAATCTTTATGTAAATATTTTTAAGTCTAATTTATTGGAAAAACAGTTGGGTGTATGGCATCGTGCCTCATTGTTCAAAGTATATTAGAACTTTAGTCAGAATTAAAAATAAAATCTGAATTATTTTTTATATACAGAAAAAATTAAAAAAAAAAGTTGAGACATTTTTTTTTTCCAAAATCAATAATTTTGTTAAAACAGGCAGAAAGTTCTTTGAATCATTCAAATCGGACGCTTATTTCTCTCAAAAACTGCCATTTTATGCACATTTAGCTCCGTATCTTCAAAATGGCTGGGCCTGCCTTTGCCGAAATCTGATAAACACTGCTCCCAATCATTACTAATTGAACGTTTTTTTAGAACATTCAAATCGGATGCTCCGTTTTCTCAAAAACTCGATTTCTATTTTCTACACTTTTTGCTCTTTATCTCCGTAATTGCTGGACCTGCCTTTGCCAAAAACTAATCAGCTGTTTTTCCTATCAACAGGAATCGAATGTTTTTTTAACCATTCAAATCGATTGATCCGTGCGCCCAAAAACGTGACTGGAAATTTGTATCCATACATACACACACATTCATTTTTTTTGAGGTATGCCAAAATGTTCAGAAACCTTCAAAACGTCGAGAAATGTAAAAATTTTCGATTTCTAATTTCGGCCTATTACAATAACTTACCCTACGGGAAGTTAATAATGGGTTTTTATACGAGTACATTAATTTATCGCAATCGGCTGGGTACGGTTGTACTGTTTTTTTTGATTATCCATAATTTTTTTCATTTACCAGTTAGCTAGGAGAAAATTAAATAAATTGGTGATTTGAACATTTGTCTACATGGAAATACTGAAATGCTGTCCTCAGATACATAAAAAGATTAGACATAGAATCAAATCATACAAGAAAAGGGCGGCGAGTGTCACAACCGTTCACAGTCCAAGAGATATGTGACAGCACAACATAATCATTCAAACAAAATTCACGCATATAATAAAACAATGTATAAAAAAATATATTTCATAAACAAAGATTTTAAAGTGAAATCTTCTGTTTATTTTTATATTAAACTTTTTTTCCTATTTCTAAAAGAAACTTTTGTATTTTATTTAAGTTAATTTTTTTTATTTGTTTAATCTTCTCACGAGAAGAACATAAAATGCATGTCACAATCATACCCTCAAAATTTGTCACAACTCATTATTATCAAGCTAAATTATCTACGAAAAATCTAATTTCTGTTTTTTGAATTATTCAAATCAGACGGTTCGTTCTCTCAAAAGCTGCATTACCATTTTTGTTTTTTTTTTTGCCCCGTATCTTCGAAACGGCTAGACCCATCTTTGAAACGGCTAGATCATGATAATGTGGGTGCCGACTGAATGCAATAATGAGTTCAAATAAACATACTCTTTTACCGTTTGGACCCTATGTCAAAATCAGTATATAATATTTGAGCTTTTATGACGACGGTATTGTTGTACCCCCTCCCCCCCCAACTATGTACTGCAAATACTCTAAATATTCATACTTTATGTCCTACGAAATTAGAATGTTAATTTCGTTCATCAAATTTTTAACCCAGAACATTATAATAATCATGTATTTTATATATTTATTTATTATAAATACATACTGTCAACTTATAGGTGCTTATTAAATTGGGTTATTAATAAAATTACTAAATTTTCTGTAAAAGCATGTTTTGTACACCATACAAAATGGTTTTTTAACTTTCCGTAGGGTAAGTTATTGTAATAGTCCAAAAATCGAAAATGTAATTTTTACATTTTTTACCGTCTTGAAGGGTTTTTAACATTTTGGAATACCTCAGAAAAAATTGATATGTGTGTTTGTGTGTGTGTATGTATGTATGGCTACAATTTTTTGTCCACGTTTTACACTTTGATCTTAGCCATTTGGCCGAGAAGCGATTTGAATTTTCAGGTGCACAGATCAACCGATTTGAATGAACTAAGAACATTCAATTCGTAATGACGGGGAGAAGTGATGATTAGATTTTGGCAAAGGCAGGTCCAGCCGTTTCGGAGATACCGAGCTTTCTGCTTATGAATTACCGTTTGTGTCATTTTTTGCCCCGTATCATCAAAACGGCTAGACCTGTTCATGCCAAAAACTAATCAGCACGTTTTCTTATCAACTGCAATCGAATGTTTTTTGAATTATTCAAATCGGTTAATCGGTGTTCCCAAAATCGTCGACGAAAATTTGTATCCGCACACACACACGCACACACACACGTACATGCACACACACATACATCCATATTTTTTAAGGTATGCCAAAATATTCAGAAACCTTTGAAACGTAAAGATATATAAAAATGTTCATTTTCGATTCTTGGACGATTACTATAGCTTACACTACGGGAAGTTAATGATGACATATTTTCATTAGTGGAATTAATTTTCATTAGGTTCTAGAGTAGTTAGTAGTATAAAGTGTCGCAAGAAGTGTTGAAACCGAAGCGCCCGAATTGCTCCTAAGTGTACGCGATTGTCGCAGCCTCCGCTACTATACAAACGCTAAAAATGGTCCCGACCCCCTATACTATTGCAAATGTTCTCGAAGAAGAGTATTTGCCGATGCCGTTCTCTCGCAAACGAAGAGCTGTGCGTGGCGTAAATGTAATAGAGTCCCTGTTCAATGCCCCCTGTGTTATATCAAGTAATAGAAATTTCATATAGAGCACACTGGAAGATTTATCGTACAATGGAAGTAATTAAAACACATTTCGAGCTCAAATTAAATACAACTTTTTAGTGTAACAAGTCGCTACTGAGTGGTTTAAAGCAAGGGCTTACAAACAAATTAAATATTTTTCCTTAGGGTTTAGAATACCTAAGGGCTTTAAATCATTGTAAATGTTTAACTAAAGCGAAAGGTATTTACTGACATTGTAAGAGTTTGGTGTAACGTAATATAAACTTGAATATAATTAAACGTCTTAAATCTCTTACGATTATAATATGATTATATTTTATGTTATGATAAAGGAAGGATATAAAAAAACTGTTTTTACACACTAGGAATATTTTTCTATATATTTGTACATTATAAACATGTACTATTAGGTTCTGTGGTATGAACTAGATTTCCATTTTGTATTTTACCCAAATTATTTTAATTATTTTTCTCAGAAATTTGGAATCGTTCTGAATTGTCACCAAAACTGGAAAAATCATGTTTGTGTAAATATCATGTTTTTGCACTATAAAAATACAATTGCAGATATTATAAGTGTGTTTGTGAGATATCAATGAAAATCTAATTCATTAATTTTTTGTGAAAGAAGAAAATGTTATTTTTGGAATAAACAATTCATCATTTCAGAAATTGCTAAATCTTATATCTCATTGAGTAAGTCTATTATTTACACATGATCATACAATTTGCCGTGAGGTCAAATGCCAGCTTGTAGATTATTTCGAAAATTTATATGTAATTTATTATATAATTAATGAATAAAAATTTATTATATTAATAGGAATCAAATGATATTCGATTCTTATCGATAGAGAGACGTGCTGATTAGGTTTTGGTAAAGACAGAGCCTGTCGTTTCGAAGATACGATCAAAGAGTGCAGAAAATAGAAGTCAGGTTTTTGAGAGTACGGAGCGTACAATTTGAATGATCCAAAAAACATTCAATTCGTAATGGTGGAGAAAAGTGGTGGTCAGTTTTTGGCAAAAGCAGGTACAGACGTTTCGGAGTTATTTGTGCAAAAATTGGCAGTTGTTGAGAGAACAAGGCATCCAATTTAAATGATTGAAAAAACTCTCAACTTATGTTGATTTTGTTTTTTTTTTTTAATTTCCACAAATAAAATGTTTGATTTCGAAAATAATTTTGATTTTAATTCTAATTCTAGCTAAAGTTTTATCTACTATTAACTATCTATCTATCTCAAAAGCCAACTTATTCAAAGTATTTTCCCTGATACCAGTTTTCGATATTAAAAAAAATAGTAATCCATAGATCACATGGTGATTGTCTAGAACATGAAATCGATACGTTGCTATATGAGCATAATCTTTTTCTATTTCTTTGACAGACAAAAGTGACCTCATTCAATAAGTTGTCAGCCGCTTCTAATTTGGAAGCTCCCAAAACCTCCTTCAAAATCATAATCGGTTAATGCTCGCGGACGGTTCTATTGTAACAGAAGTCTGTTCTCTTTCAAAATCGGCTTCTCCGCGCAGAACTTATTACTTTCAGCAAGCAATCGAGGTATAATGTACTAGCAGCATTCCATCACCAGAATTACTCTAACAAATTGTTTCACTCCTCGACGTGTGTAATACGTGTGTTCAGCATTTAGTGAGTAAACGTGTGATTTCTATCGCTTGGAGAAAGGACTTTGAAGGAATATCCTCTAAAGACACTTTCATAGCAAATGTAGCAACGCTGAAGGTGGTTTGGCAAATTGATGTTTGACTATCCGTTACCAGATTCACGTATTCTATTATCTTAAAACATGAACGGTCGAGTTTAAAATTATAATGATTTTAATTCGAATATATCAAATACATTGTAACATATATATATATATATATAGAATTTTTTTAAATATTTTTATTAGTGACATTACATTGTATATACATATAGACTATATATACATCTTGTACATCACCTACACTTTGTTAGGCAATTCACATTAGTTTATTAATTAGATTAGTTTTTGGCAAAGGCAGGTCTAGCTATTTCAAAGGTAAATAGCTAATTAAACAAAAAATGGCTGGTTTTGAGAGAATTAAGCATCCCATTTGAATGATTAAAAAAACTTTCTGCTTGTGTTGACAAAACAATTGTCAAGAAAAAAAATTCTTTTGTATATCGAAAATAATTCTGATTTTAATATTATTTCTGGCTAAAGTTCTAAAGCTCTCTTATATACTTTAAATAAATAATTTTAACTTTGTAATTCAGGTAATATAATTCTTATAAATACATGTTGGACAATGTTACAGTATTTATTATAATCAATTTGAAAACATTTAATATTTTTTGATCATTTTGTTACGGTACGGAAAGTTTCAGTTTTCAAAGTTTGGACATTTTACCCGTAGGTATTGTGTCTATCATATCAGTTGTTAAAAACAATAAGTATTTAAAATATAGATTATATGATATAAATATGACAAAAAAAGGAAACTTAAAAGAAAAAAATAATAAGTAGACAAAACACAAAAAATAGGTGAAAGATTCATTCGCTGTGAAGGAAAATCAGAGTGACGAGCCAGTATCAGTTGCCGCTAAGGATTGATAAGAATTGATAAGGATATAGTTTGGTATGGCAAACACGCTATACCAAATATTTCTGGGATATATTGGGCAAGCGCTTGAAAGTCATTATTGGGGTAATCTCTGCATTTGAGGTAAAAGTTTCCAGTGAGCTTTTTAATTTGGTCGAGTACTTCGGTACATCAGTCTGTCTATGTATTATTTTGTAGAGTAATAGTGTTTCGTCAGTGAGTTCCTTGATTTGTTGAGTACTAGTCGTAAAGCTTTGGGCAGTCTGTAGTCTCCGTAGGTTAGTCTTTGTTGTCGTGTTTCATATAGAGTGTCCGCTTGTTCTTCACGCTCAGCGGGCTGTTGTGGTTCAAGAGATGCCAGTATATTGTAGTGTAGTGTAGAGTACTGTTCTTTCTGAATCTATATTGGCTACCTAGTATGATTTTACTGCAATCACTTTACTCATTTTATTGAGGAGGCTGATAGGTTTGTAATTTTACAGTGCGTCTGGCTGTTTCCTTGACTTCAATATTCGAAATATGGTGAAAGTTCTCTACGATGTAGGAAAGTAGCCTTTGGCCGTTATGCGTGTGAGTAGTATAAAAGCGTTTGTTGGCTGTTTCAGTATGATAATTTGTAGTCCGTTCATAGTTTTCTGATTATTTTATTTTATTGCAGAAACTGTGGCAGGGTTTATACGAAAGTCTTTGTTGTTAAATTATCAGTAAAATTTTGAATGAATACGTGTACATCACGATCCAGGTATGCATTTGACATATTATTTTGTTTGTGAATGTTTTCAAAGTTTGTTACCTTGTAGGCTTGTGTCGTGGCATGGTTGTTGTCGGCTATATTGAGTGGCGTTATGGATGTTGTTTTTCGTGTTAGTCTTTTAGCGGTTTGCCAAACTACGTGTCAGTATAAATGTTTTCTACTCTTTTAGTTCAAGTTGTCGGCCTGTTAACGTGTTTTTTAGTAGTCTGTCACCAGTACGTTGCGACAGTTTTTTTGTTTGATTTTTTAATTTAATTTTCAGTTTTATCTATTTGGCTAGTTTTATAAATAATGTTGATTTTGTGCCTCGTATCGGTATTGGCGTTGGATGGCTGTCAGTGATCGTCTGTGTCAGATGTATTACAAAGTTTTCATTGTTTATGTTGGTCTCAATAGATATCGTGTTTCGTATGTTGTCAGTCATGATGTCTCTGAAAAATGGCCAGTTGGCTCTGAAGTAGTCTAGAGTTTTATATTCAGGGGTCTGTTCGTCGTCGAATCTGTCAGAAATAGTCATAAAAACAAGGTTATGATCGAAGTTAAAATGTGTTTTTGTTGTGGATTCGAAAGTCAAATGCAGATTTTTGGTCAATACCAAATCTATTGTGCTACGATGGTGTATCGGTACTGTGACGTACATGGTTTGCGTTTCAAGATAGTACAGTTGTGCGTCGGTAGTTTTGTGTTCGGTCAGATAACACAAGTCAACAAAGAAAATGGTGCAAACGATTTTAATGCTGTTTTTAAGTATATTTGAGCTGATTTCAAAAATGACATTGATTTTTTTCTATGAGCTTTAGTTTTCAAGATATGATATATATGATATATTAGGTGCGCAACTAAGTTCTCGCTGTTTTTTCGATGAAAATGTAACTTTATTATAAAAAATTGCATCAATTGAGTTTGATACAGTTCTCCAGTGATGGTTTCGCTTGGTTCAACAGCTCATAACAAGCAACACTGACCTGGTCCCACCATATGTAGAGCATAATCTTCGCAGTGAATATTCGACCGAACCGAGATTCTCTCCTCTTTGGATTGCTGTAATGTATCCATGTTTTATCACCTGTCACGATGTGATAAAGAACCTCTTCTTTTGCGCCGCTGGAGCAGTGGTTCATAGGCAAAAAACGACGCTCGACGTCTCTTGGCTTCAACTCACAAGGAACCGAAGTTTTTTGCTTCTAAATCATCCCCAACGCATGCAATAGCTTGGAAATGGCTTGATAGGTAACTTCTGATTCCGAAGCAAGATCTTCTTGAGTTTCGAATGAGAGCACGAATCCTCTTCGAACAAGGCCTTCAATTTAGCGTTTTTGAAGGTTTTGGCCTTCCTTCACGAGGGTGGTCGTCAATATCAAAATCACCATTTTTGAAGCGACAAAACCCCTCACGGCATGTTGTTTCGCTCAGAGCATCATTACCGTAGCTCTCGATGCACTTGAGCTGCCGTTTTTTTTTTTTTTGAATGGAAGACGAAAATTAACACTCCCCGCAAAGGACGATTGTGTGGCATAAAATTGGACATATTCGCTTAATCAGAAGTATATAATGCAAAAACGATTTAATTATGTGTCGCAGGAGTTTGTTTACTTACTCTAAGTTTGCTTCAAGACGTTTTGGATTTGTCATCGACCAACCCTTACTGCTAGAGCCA